GGAACCAATATACAAGGACACGTGCACCTCCATGTTTATTGCAGCACTGTTCGCAATAGCTAGGATATGGAAACAACCTAGGTGCCCCACCACAGATGAATGGATCCAAAAATTGTGGTATCTATACACAATGGAATATTATGCAGCCATTAGAAATGACAAAATAATGGCATTTGCAGGGAAATGGATGGAGCTAGAAGGAATCATGTTGAGCGAGGTAAGCCAAGAACGAAGAGACAAACGGTACATGGTCTCCCTCATAAGTGGATGCTAAATCCAAAAGGTTAGTGATACGACAAAACTAACAGGACTTAAGAAACAAAGAACTCCCGCTCATCTGGTGGAACCACTACTAAATATCCTCATGCTGCTGATCACAAATATGGTATATAACATGTGAACACTGTTATATATTACAGACTGTGGTAGACAATTTGCTCCAGGGAAGTTAGAATGAACTTGTGACTTTGAAATTATGTAATCATTTAATCACAATCAAAAAAAAAAAAAAAAGAACCTCGGGGAAGGGAGGGAGGGAGGGGATGGTAGGGGGAAAACAATGGAGGGGGTAACAATGTTCAAGAGGAAGTGTACTCATAACCTCACTCATGTAACTGTGACCCTCTGTATAGTAGCTTTACAATAAAAAAAAAAAAAAAAAAAAAAAAAAAAAAAGAGATTACTTGTGTACTGTTACTCTTCGTTCAAAGTCTTTTCAATGGTCACTCTGTGTAAATATATAAGATATATCTTACTTTCTTTAAACTAGCCAGTCACAAGCAGGCTGTGAACCTGTGCCTGGCCAGTTTGAGCACAGAAGCAGAGCCTCTGTGTTAGGAATAGAGAAGCCCACCGGCTCTGTGTGCTTGCTTCACAGGTGTCTGGCTGATAGGGCACCTTTCTGCAAAAATAAATTTTGCCCTCATGACGCCCCTATACAACACCCCGAGCCACTTCTAACACGAGAACAGAGCCCTGCATACAAGGAAAGAAAGCCACCTCTACTCCACACACACAAGTCACCAGCATATTCATGTTCAGATATTAAAGAAGAGTCAAAGGTCAAGTAGCTAAACAAAGTTTAAACTGGTTCTTTACCACAACACTTCCCCATTTTCAGTCTCTTATGTGATCTATAATGTATTAATGTGCTTTTTTCCCCCTTCAACTTGGCAAAAGAAGGTCTAGAGAATAAATTGTTCACCAGGATCTAATCTCCACACCCTTTCACCCCTACGAGCATCACAGGACCTTGCTTGTGCCTTGGGAAATACTATCTTCAAGAAATGGGTCTGCTGGTTTACTGCCAAATGCAGTGCTCAGCCAGCCAGGCCAATGACCTGGCTACTGCTAAGTACAGGGCCACTGATGCCTTCTGTGATTGGCTCCCTGGTGGACAATCCAAGCTGAGCAAGCCAAGGTAGTTTAAGCTGTAGCAAGAACTTACAGAGAAAAGCTCAGCAGGAGCCTCTGCCAATGGCCCGGTATCATAGCAATGTGGTGTAAGTTTTGGCAGTTTTCTTTGTTCATTCCTAGAAGATTCAACTTGCTAACTTTCCTGAGTTCCACATACTTAAAAGACCACAAACTGTAAATTAAGGTTAGTGACTCACATCTGTAATCCTAGTTACCCAAAAGGCTGAGATTTAAAAGACTGCAGTTCAAAGCCAGTCTAAGAAGAAAAGTTTTTAAGACTTTATCTACAAAATAATGGGGGGAGGAGGGGCTGCGCCGGGGAGCTGGGCTGGTCAGGCACTGATGGTTTACACTTGTAATCCTAGCTACCCAGGAGGCTGAGAGCTGAGGATCAAGGTTCAAACCCAGCCTGGGTAAGAAAAGTCTATGATATAACCAGCAAAAAGACAAAAGCAGAGGTGTGGCTCAAGTGGTAGAGCACCAGCCTTGATTTAAAAAAAGCCAAGTGAAAGTGTGAGGATCTGAATCTAAGTCCCAATCAGTATCAGAACCAAAAAAAAAAAAAAAAAAAAAGCCAAACTGGAGGTATGACTCAAGTGGTATAGCACTAGACATAACCAAGCAAGTTAAGCAAGCACTGAGTTCAAGCCTGGTACTGGGAGGACAAAAAAAAAAAAAAAAAGATTACAAACTCTTTATAGTAGCCCCTAAAATTTTAACATACACTAATCTCTACAATACCCCACGGTCAGAAACAATACAAATCTAGACAAAAGTGTCAAACTATCTAGGTGGAAAAAAAAAACTTGGCAGGTAAATGCTATTAAAATGCAAGGAACTCTGTAATGTCAAGGACAGTTCTGTGTATAATAAAAATGGAAGAGGAAATCAAGCTGCAGGAAAAGCAAATAAGCAAATGATGATCACTTCCTTAAGGAAGAAGAAGGTCAAGATGCACACAGCCAGCACCTTAATCCCAGGATGAGCCACAGCTCAAAAGAATACATTAATAAGAGTAGTATCAGTTATTTAAGCCCTTCCTAGACAGTCTTTCAGTTTTCAGTGGCAAGAAGAAAATCACATCTGCGTGCTTCTATATGCAAGTATGAAAGAATGGTGGATAAATGAGGGCAGACAGCCATCAACCTGTTCTAGGACAGAAATAGCTAGCAGAGCATCTCTTCCTCCGCTAAGTGGTGGGCATTTGGAAAATGGTTCTTCTACCTCACTACCAACATTAAATTCGGGACAGGAAAATGTTCGTGGCTTTCCTGAAGAATCTGAAAATGGAGGAATCATTCAAGCAATCTACACACAACTAATCACCACTCTCTCAGCTTCTTATAGAAGCATAAAACCCTCTATAGATACTCAAAATAGAAGCTTCAACTCAAGTTGAAGCTGGGCACCAGGAGTGCCTAACTGTAATCTTAGCTACCCAGGAGGCTGAGATCTGAGGATCACAGTTCAAAGCCAGCTGGAGCAGGAATCATGAGACCCTTATCTCCAATTAATCCCCAGAAAACTGGAAGTAGCCCTGTGGCTCAAAGTGGTAGAGTGCTAGCCCTTGATTGAAAAAGCTCAGGGACAGCACCTAGGCCTTGAATTCAAATCCCACAACCGGGGTGGAGGGGGGAACAAAAACAAAAAGAAAGAAAAGAAATAGTATAGATTTGTTACTTGGGCTAACCTCAAACTACAATCCTCAGATCTTAGCCTCCTGAGTAGCTTGGATTACAGGCATGAACTACCAGAGCCCAATTTTGCCATGTTCAAATGCACCTTTCTTTAATTACTGAGTTATATTACAAGAGTAACACATGTTCTTTTCCTAAACTTTGAGACCCACAAGTTCAGCGGCAGAAGGCAAAAGCCTTGGAGAGGCCAACTCACCAGACAGAAACTGGTACCATTTGGGAAAGAGATCTCTAAACACATACGATCATAAATACACACACCCAGCACTTGAACACCCTAAGCTTTGACACATACATGAAGTGCACACCTGTGCACTCTCATCACAGCGACAGACATGCTTCTATATCAACTCAAACATACAAAGTTGTTCAAAAGTACTCTTTTAGGAACAAGGCAATCCTCACTATATAGTTAATGTACACTTAAAAAATAAAGACTACCCTTTTATATTCAGATTCTGGTATTTCCAAGCTGTTTTTTAAGGCAAAGTAAGGATCCCAAGAGATGCGCCTTCACGAATTCTGGCAAAAGCAAGAACACTTCAAAAAATAACCTTTAACACATACAGTGTTGAATTTCACCCATTTGCTTTAAAATCCTGAACATATATTTTAAACTCAGAGGGTAAAATGAAGGGTTAGAGAACAGGAGGGAACAGAGACATTAAAATAATTTATTCAGGTTCTTAAATCACAACCTTTATGGCTGCAGGTGGAGCTCAATGGGACAGTACTTGTCAAGTATGTGCAAGATCCTGGTTTTGATCCTCAGCAGTATGAAAAATCATAACCTTGATGTCTACCATGTGCCCAGGAACAACTTCCATCACTCCATCCATCATGACACCATCTGAGGGCTGGGAATGTGGCTTAGTAGTAGAGTACTTGCCTAGAATGCATGAAGCCCTAGGTTCAATTCCTCAGTACCACACAAGCAGAAAAAGCCACAAGTGGCACTGTGGCTCAAGTGGTAGAGCACTAGCCTTGAGCAAAAGAAGCTCAGGGACAGTGCCCAGGCCCTGAGTTTTAGCCCCAGGACTGGAAAAAAAAAAAAAAAGACACCATCTGCTATGGATTTCACAGTGCACTAGACTTGCCTTTGTGTCACTACATACTGGATGGATTCCCTTTTTTTGTTGTTGTTGTTGGTCATGGGGCTTGAACTCTGGGCCTGGGCGCTGTCCCTCAGCTCTTCAGCTCAAGGCTAGTGCTCTACCACTTGAGCCACAGCGCCACTTCTGGTTTTCTGGTGGTTAATTGGAGATAAGAGTCTCACAGACTTTTCTGCTGGGGCTGGCTTTGAACCATGATCCTCAGATCACAGCCTCCAGAGTAGCTAGGATTATAGGTGTGAGCCACCAGCACCCAGCTAAAAAACTCTTTCTTTTTTTTCCTTTTTTTTTTTGTCAGTTGTGGAGCTTGAACTCTGGGCCTGAGCACTGTCCCTCAGTTCTTCAGGTCAAGGCTAGGGCTCTATTTGAGCCACAGCTCTACTTCCTGTATTCTCATTTTTATCCCCTCACTTTCCTAGGATCTTAGCCTAAAAGAAATCTTCCAAAACGCAAATCCAGGAAAGAATGAACCAGAAGCTCATCATCCTTAGGAAAGAGAGCACATTGGCCAAAGGTGGTACGTGGCAGCATGCTAGATGAGAAGGAAAATGGCAAATTCAACAACAAGGAAGGGTGATCAGAAGGACAGAATGAGACAGGCAGCTTTCCCTGGGGTGTGGTGCACTGAAGCACTTGCCTAGTATGCACAAAGCACTGGCTTCCATCCCAGCCCGGAAACAGAGAGAAAGAAGAGAAAAAACACTGAAAGATAGAAACAATGATACAAGGCATTTTCAGGCTATGCCACTATCAATATGATAATGAAATAACCAATTTCCAATGGAGAAAAATTCACAAGGCCATACCTCCTCTGTCCTAGCTCTAAAGCCCATAAAGCTGAACCCACTAAAGCTGGCTAGGGTAAAAGAGGAAAAGAAGTATCACCAGAACTTCTGCACATGGCAAAGGGAAGAATCATGACTTACTAAAACATGTGGCTATTTTTTCCAGGTCTGAAGAAAGAACAGAGTACATATAAATGTAGCCCAAATCTTGGAAGACATTAAAAGGGGAATTTTCAGATCCTTCCTTGGCCAAGACCAGAGGTACAAGTTAGTATACCATCATTATTGTTTTTGGCATGCCATCATTATTATCTTCCTAATAAAGCTGCTTTGTATTATAAAATGAGATAAAGTAAAACAATGTACCTAGGGCTGGGAAGGTGGCTCAGTGGTAGAGTGCTTGTCTTGCATGCATGAGGCCCTGGATTTGATTCCTCAGCACCAGAAAAAGCCAGAAGTGGCGCTGTAGCTCAAGTGGTAGAGCTTTAGCCTTGAGCTGAAGAGCTGAGGGACAGTGTCCAGGCCCAGAGTTCAGGCCCCATGACTGACAAAAAAAAACAAAAAACAATGCATCTAGATGATCACTGTCCCCATCTCCCAACCCAACGCCCCTCAATTTTCCTAGTTTTATATTCATATGCATTCAATCTTATGATTATATTCTCCTACACCTTCCTGTCTTCCTGTATTAATGAGCTACCTAGGGACTGGCTTATAAAACTCTTAATGGAAGGTATATCTTATTACTCAAGTAAGGTGATTTTTTTAATCCTAAATCTTATCATTTATAACGACTATAATCCTAGAAAATTCTTTCTTTTATGTTTCTATAAACATATTAAGCGGGGCACATGTGGCTCACACCTGTAATCCTAGCTACTCAGGAGGCTGAGGCCTGAGGATCACAGTTCAAAGCCAGTCCAGGCAGAGAAGTCCATGAAACTCTTTTCTCCAATAAACCACCAGAAAACCAGAAGTGGTGCTGTAGCTCAAGTGGTAGAGCACTTGCCTTGAATTGAAGAGCTGAGGGACAGCACTTAGGCCCAGAGTTCAAGCCCCACAACCGACAGAAGAAAAAAACAAAAAAGAAACATATCAAGTTATTTTCTCTAGACTGAGAACTAGAACAGCAGAGAGGAAGGAATTTTTGAAAGCACAGCAGTCGCCGAACGAAAAGACTGTGTGTGTGTGTCAGACTCCTTTCATTTCAGGCCATGCTTAAGAAAAGCCATTTGCATATTATTTCTACCACCCTGGCCTGCCGCAGGGCTACTGGGAATAGGGGGGCTTCAGAGCCAGTGCCTTAGTCACTTCCCCAGGAAGCACCACCACAGCCCCCAGGACTGCTAGCCCCCAACACCCACAGGGCCACCACGGAGAAGTACCCCCTAACCACAACCAGCAATCCTGGCCAGGCCTCTGTGACAGCGGCTGCGGTGAGAGCAGGAGTCAGGCGTGGTGGTTTCTGTTTTGGTCTGTGGCCTCATGTGGCAGCCCAGGTGGAAGGCAAGGGCTCTGCAGGGCACAGTTCCACTCATTCTCCCCATCAGACCATCCCACCTGCCCTCAAGCGCATGAGTGGCAGGTGCTCGAATCTGCAGCAAACCACATCCAAATTAAGCAACTCTGCTCAACCCACATGACCCATGTTTTCTTTTTCTTGCTCAAGAGTTCAAAAATAGAATTGTGCTGACTTGCCACGAGATGAAGGTTCTAAACAGCAGTCTATCTACTTATGGAATATACAAAGCTTCCAAAAATACCTGCCCAGTATTTCTCTGTAGAAAAGAGAACGTAAATTTAAAAGGAACAGTGCCCTCCGAACTTCTATAGGATAAATCTGCAAGAAAAACTCAAAACTCAGAATTCAGATTTTGCTAAATACAAGGTCACTGCATGGGTGGAGAGGCCTGGCATCTGCCCTTGCCTAAGGCCCCTGGCCCTACTGTAACAGGAAATAAGTCACCTGACCCAGCTGGTTATCTGACCATGTGCGCGCAAGTACGTACGTACGTGCGTGCGTGCGTGCGTGCGTGCGTGCGTGTGTGTGTGTGTATATATATACCTCCCCCCACCTGGGGGGTGGATGTCCTGTCCTTCATTTCACCTGCCGGAGCCATTGAGAACCAGGTCACCCACCTGGTTTAGACATGAGCTGTGCACAGCCATAGGGAACTGGCATAGGATCAGTAAAAAAAAGTACACAGGACTTACGCAGGTATCCATTGAGTTAGTGGTCTGTTTACTGAAAGAAAATCCTCAACCCAGGAGATTGCTATGGGGTGGTTTCTCTCCAACAGCTTCCCACACCTGAAAATGTTTATTTTTTGGAGGTGCTTAGATTTGAACTCAAGCTCAATCACCTTGTTTGCTTGGCTAGTGGTTTTATTACTTGACTCATGCCTCTAGCACTGCTTTTTGCTGCTTATTTTAGAGATACAGTCTATGAATGTTCTGCCCAGGCTGGCCTCAAACCATGATCTTTCGGGAGCTGGGAAGGTGGCTCAGTGGTAGAGTGCTTGCCTTGCATGTATGAGGCCCTGGGTTCAATTCCTCAGCACCACATACACAGAAAAAGCTGGAAGTGGGTGCTACGGCTCAAGTGGTAGAGTGCTAGCCTTGAGCTGAAGAGCTCAGAACAGTGCCCAGGCCCAGAGTTCAAGCTCCTCAACCAGCCAAAAAAAAAAATCATCTTTCATATCTCAGCCTCCTGAGAAGCTAGGATTATAAACAAGAGCCACTAGCACCAACCCAAATTCTTAAAATCTAGACAGAGGGCTGGGAAGGTTAGTGGTAGAGTGCTTGCCTAGCATGTGTGAAGGCCTGGGTTTGATTCTTCAGTATCACCTGCACAGAAAAAGCCAGACGTGGCACTGTGGCTCAAGTGGTAGAGTGCGGGCCTTGAGCAAAAGAAACTCAGGGACAGTGCCTAGGCCCTGAGTTCAAGCCCCAGGACCGGCAAAAAAAAAAAAAAAAAATCTAGGGCTGGGAAGGTAGCTCAGTGGTACAGCACTTGTCTAGCATAAAACCCTAGGTTCGATTCCTCAGCACCACATAAACAGAAAAAGCTGGAAGTGGCGCTGTGGCTCAAGTGGTAGAGCATTAGCCTTAAGCTGAAGGGCTGAGGGACAGTGCCCAGGCCCAGGGTTCAGACCCCCACGACCGGACCCCCCAAAAAAAAAAATCTAGACAAGAAAAAGAAAGCACTTTCTATAATTACTCGCAAAGAAAAATGAGCAAGGGCAGGGCGCTGGTGGCTCACGCCTGTAATCCTAGCTACTCAGGAGGCTGAGATCTGAGGATCGCGGTTCAAAGCCAGCCCGGGCAGGAAAGACCGTGAGACTCCTATCTCCAATAAACCACCAGAAAACCGGAAGTGGCGCTGTAGCTCAAGTGGTAGAGCGCGCTCGCCTTGAGCTGAAGAGCTGAGGGACAGCGCCCAGGCCCAGAGTTCAAGCCCCAGGACCGACCCAAAAGAAAAAAAAAAAGAAAAATGAGCAAGGATTCTATCTGCTACAACAGGATGACATGTCATTGATTTTAGGGTACAGGAACAAGGTTCTAAACCAAAAAAGAAGGTCTGCTCAATTCAAGGGCATATGTGCAAAAAAGAACTTGGGTCAGGCGCCAGTGGCTCAGGAGGCTGAGATCTGAGGATTGCGGTTCAAAGCCAGCCCCAGCCGGGCAGGAAAGTCCATGAGACTCCTATCTCCAATAAACCACTCACGAAACCAGAAGTGGCGCTGTAGCTAAAGTGGTAGAGTGCTAGCCTTGAGCTGAAGAGCTGAGGGACAGCCTAAGCCCAGAGTTCCAGCCCCACAACTGACAAAAATAAATTAATTTAAAAAAAAAAAAGAACTTGGGGAACAGTTGGTTGTAAAACATAGGTAAAACGTTAGGAATTATATAAATGTTTACCAATAAGAAAATGATTATGGGGCTGGGAAGATGGCTCAGTGGTAGAGCGCTTGCCTTGCATGCCTCTGAGGCCCTGGGTTCGATTCCTCAGCACCACATAAGCAAAAAGAAAAAAAAAAAAAGAAAATGATTATGCTATACAAATGACTATATCAGTTACTCAATTTCTTTTAAAAAATTTGGTAAAATTCACCATTTTAACCATCTGGTTTGGTTTAGTTTTTGTGGTCCTGGAAATGGAACCCTAGGACTCGTACACGCCAGGCAAGTGCTCTACCACTGAGCTACATCTCTAGCTCCATTTTAACCACTTTTCAGTATACACTTCAGAAGTGTTAGAGACATCTATGATGTCTTTGGTACAATCTATTTTATGATTTTGACTGTGCTGTCATTAAAAGGCAGAGTCACTATAAACTACTGACCTGGAACAATGAAAAAAGACCATCAAGGAAAAACTAGGTCATATTTTTAATGTAAGATTCACAGAAAGGCTTATAAAGAGCACACGACACCTTTTGCCTTTTATTTAGAAAAAGGCAGGGGAGAACTGTCACAGTACTTTGAGCTTTTACTCTATTTAAAGAAAAATTTCTTTACATAAAATATTAAATATAGGGCTGGGAAGCGGCAAAGTGGTAGAGTGCTTGCCTAACATGCATGAAGTTCGAGTCCTCAGAACCACATAAACAGAAAAAGCCAGAAGTAGCATTGGGGCTCAAGTGGTAGAATGCTAGCCTTGAGCAAATGAAGCTCAGGGGCAGTGCCCAGGCCCCGAGTTCAAGCCCCAGGACTGGTTAAAAAAAAAACTAAATATAACATTTCCCCGTTATATGGGTTGAGGATAAACCTCTGTGAGAGTTAACCTAGCATGCATGAGGCTCAGCACCCCCCAAAAAAGCTCATCTGGATGTATGCACAGATGCATGAATAGATGGATAGATAAGATTTGCATTTTTCAAACTCCTATCTATACAAAAAAGGAAACAGGTCCAAGTTTCAATTTACTACAAATTTTCAATTTACTACAAAATTAGAGAAAGTCAAAACCATCAGTCAGGACAATTGTGTCAAGACACTTTTGTATAAGCTCCATTTCCCACTAGATAGGATACCCTTGTGCTAGCAGTGTACTAATGAATTTATACAAAGATTGAATGGGTCTAAGCAAAGTCTGTCTCCATTAACCTCAGAAAATGCATTTAGACTG